GCCACATCCAGCTGGCCATCCGCAACGACGAGGAGCTGTCCAAGCTGCTGGGCGGCGTGACCATCGCATCCGGCGGCGTGCTGCCCAATATCCACGGCGTGCTGCTGCCCAAGACCAAGGGCAAGAAGGGCAAGGACGAGGCCGAGTAAACAGCTCGTCGCGCCTCTGCAAGTGCTGCGGCACTCCCTAACACCCCAAAACGGTGGCTCTCGCCACCACCAAAGCATGACCCTGCCATGATACCTTTTGTACGTGAGAGTGAGCACGCCGCCTCACATATAAGCCCTCTGCCCTGCCGAAACATTTTGGTCTGTATGCCTCATGTACTGTACAGGCAAATCATAAGGAGGGATGCCCGACAATGCCACTTGCTGGTCTGCCGCCCTTGCAAAATGCAAGCCGCCTCATTGGTCATCCTCTCGGCCGCCTAGCCCCACACAGCACCTTGATTGGAGCGTCTGCCCACCTCTGTCAGGCAAGGCAACAGGGCATCTAGGTTTCCCCGACTGAATCCAATTATGTTTTGGTTGGCTTCGTCACAATAAAGGTGAAGCACCAAACACATAGAAATTACCAAATTCACCAGCCTGCCGACAGCGAGCGCAGCAGGGGCACCGCCACAACATTCAATTATGACAGCTGCAAGCGAATGCCGCTTCCTCCACGTCATTCAGCACAGCCGATTGCGCCGGTCTGCTTTGCAAGCTTGGGCCCTTAAGGCCCGCCAGCACGGCTCCGCGAGAGACAGCATGGCCGCCAAGCCAGGGAAGCGGCCACCAGCACCGCCGCAGCTGTCCTTGACTGAGGCTATGGCTCTCGTTGGTACTTAATAGACTACCTGGGAATGTCTCTCAGTGAGCGGCCGCTCTTTGAGTTACATTCAGAAGAACCCATCCGCCAGCAGTGCTGGCGGATGGGTTCTTCTGCAAGCTGATCTTTTTGTTGAGTGCAATGTCCTGCACGGCCCCTTCTCAGGTGCGTTCATCCAGTCAAGCACTGTATAGCATTGTGGAAGTTTGGTGGTATTTGGAGGCTGCAAATCTGTGATGGAAAATATTATGACCAATGATGAAAAACGCCTGCAAAGTGGGGAAATTGCTTCGGGACAGCTCTGCTTTCTCTCAATCGAAGGGGGCAAGCTCGTCAGGCTCAGCGGCTGGTTGGCACCTGCCATGCGTGCCTTAAAAGAGTCCATCCACCATCAACCAGCGCATCCCAATATGAGGGCACACCCTGTATTGGCATGGTCGCGTCCCAAACCATCGCAGTATGACTGATCGCGTTGCCTGGGTTGTACGCGTGTGTGCAATGTGCTGCCTGCTGCTGCGACTACTGCTGACCCCCCTGCCTACATCATGAGATTCACAGATACTCTGAACTATTGGGCAATCCTCAAACGTTGAAGCATGTCCAGGGCAGTTCCAGCCTTGGGGACATGGACGCAGCAAGCACCTGCAGGGAAGCTGTCTACCTGGACGTGGTTTGTACGGTTGGCCCATGTGCCCTCCGTGTACCGCCTTGATTAATTAATTGCAATCCGTGCTCGTCGATATCACTCAAGACGCCCACCAATCCGGTGGTCAACACTTCGCGCAACAACCAAATCACTATGGCCCCCACCAAGCCCGCAACGAAGAAGGGTGAGGCCTACGATGCGATAAGATACATCAAAAATACACTAGGGCTGCTTGAACGCTGCTGCCCCTGTGCGGACGTGTGTGCTCCGATGCAGAGCACTACTGCTGGAGGGCACTACTGCTGCACCCTGCCCTTCCTCAACTCAGTGTTTGCAATTCTGCGCCTCCTGACTGGTCCTGTGGTTCCATGATTCGCAGTTGCGCCGAAGAAGGCGCCCGCAGCCAAGAAGCCCGCTGCCGCAAGGGCTGCTGCGCCCAAGGTACAGGAGGGGTGCGGGATAAGACGGTTCAAGCCTGTGCGCGCCAGCTGTGCTAACACCATCTCTGCAAGAGGGGAGGCTTCAACGCAGCAGATTGAATGGCTGCGCCGCGAAACGTCTTGACAGCGTGTAAATGCCGCTCAAGCATCTTCGCACGACTCCTTTGCACACCCGCTTTACCATTGACCCAATCCCGAGCACGTGCGACACCCGCAGGCTGCCGCTGCGCCCAAGGTGAAGAAGACCCCCACCAAGAAGCCCGCGGCGGCCAAGCCCAAGAAGGCCGCGACTCCCGCCAAGAAGGCCGCCGCCAAGACCAAGACGCCCAAGAAGACCCCCGCCAAAAAAACCCCGGTGGGCGCCTGGCTCGATAGTCACGCAGTACGCCTGTCGCTTCGCTTGCCGTGCACCTTGTTCTGTGCTGGTGGGAGGTGCGCCAAAGCGTGGGCTCTGCACATGCCGTGTCTGATCTTTCTGCACCTGTTACAAACGCCACTTTACCTGTCCCTGCAGGCCAAGAAGGTGGCGTCCGCCAAGAAGACCCCCGCCAAGAAGGCGACCCCCGCCAAGGCCTAATGGGTTATCGACACACGACGCGCGGCGTGCGAAACGGTGGCTGGCGGCCGGCCCTGCCCGCAATCGGCTGCTATTGAGCGCCTGCTTGCATGTTCGGCTGCCAATTTAGCTCGCTGGTCCCCGTGCCGCGCGCATCCGCGTCTCGCAGTTCCCGCTGCTACGCCACAGTCATCTGACACCGCCCGGTTTGCGGTTTGGTCGCCCTCCATGCTGCAACGCTGCGTGAGATGATAAGACCCTTGAGCCGGCCGTACCCGACCACCAGATTTCATCTGACAAGGACCGACGCGTGTTGCTTTCTCGTTGACCTGACGCAACCCCCGATTTTGCACAAATACACGCGTCCAAACAAGGATCGCACATTTCAAGGGAGCGCACGCGCATGCCCGCATGTTCGTCCATCGCTCGCCGCCAGCTAGCTCGTGCGAAGGTCTGCCGCCAACGCTCGTCCCGACGATTGCCGGTTGCATGACTCAGCACCTGCAGTGGCGCCTCAGCACCAAGAGTGGGCAGCGGTCCCTCTGGTGCTTTTCATGTGTAACTCTTATCAGCGCAGGCCGCGGGGCTCTGTCAGGTGTTGAGCTTTGAGGTGGGTCAGCTCAGGCGACTGGTCTGGTCAAATCTGTGCTGCCTGAGGCGACAGAGTCCACAAAATTTCATGTGGCTTGTCTCACCACAGGCTGGGGCCGGACAAAATTGCAAGAGCCACCAAATACAGTTCCACAAAAAACGATGTGATGAACCCCTAAAAACGCTAGCAAACTTGCGGGTGGATGAAATCTAGAAGCGTCGTGACAGGGGGGGGGGCACCTTTGCTGCCGCCGCCGAGTACCCGCGCGCAAATCTGATGCCAACCCTGCATTTGGTGCTCACCTACCGCTGCCCTGCTGCCAGCTGTGCCTCCAGGTCTGCCACCCGCTTCTTTAGCGCCGCCACTTCTGCCTCAAGCTGCGCTTCGCGGCCGCCCTGGGCGCCGCTGCTGATGGCAGGTGGCTTGTACGGCTGCAGCAGGTTGACGCCGAATGCTTTGAGAGAGTCTACGCCACGCACCTGTGTAAGAGAGATATTTTTGTGTTTGTTGTGGGGGTTATTGGTGCATGGTCAGCATCCAGAGTGTCCTGGCAACGCCACGCACTTCTGAGGGCGGCACCAAAACCAAGCAGTTGCAGCAAGGCCACAAATTCATATGACCGTGCCTGCCCACCCGATGTCCCTCCTGCACCCGCATGCGCCAACACATGTCTTGCCCCCAAACACACACACACACACACACACACACACACACACACAAACACACACACAAACACACACACGCACCTCGTCCTCCAGCAACGGCAGCTTCACGAGGTGGAAGTCCTCGTACAGATCATGAAACTGATCAAGGTACCTGGGGTGTCCAGGGGGTGGGGCAGAGGGGTGGGGGTCATAGGGTGGAGGGGGACGACAGATACAAGTGCTGACCACCTACAAAGCAGATCACATGAGCTCCAGACCCTTGCGATGGTAAGTAATTGCAACCAGCCTTGCAGACAATCTTCCCATCTTTATGTTCGCTGTGCATTCAGCACCCCCTAAACAGGTTGAGCACTCACTTTTCCTGCATGCGCACACGCGCCTCCAGCAGCTTGGACCCCGAGGCTGGGCGGTGGATCAAGACACAGGCGCAGGGCAGCGGGATACGAGTAGAATGATAGAATGAGGGTTGCAGGCAGATGCACAGTATTTCGCGTCGTCATTCCAGCAAGGCGTTGTGGACGTCTCGCACGGACACCCACGGGCGTCGCTGCGTGGCCGCGCGGCTGGAGCACGGTGCGGGCGGGGGTGCCGCGAGGGCGAGTGGGGACGTCGGGTGCGGCGAGCGGCGTGGCAGAGGGGCCGCACCTGCTTCGAGGAAGATGACCTGGTTGATCACGATGTTGCGGCTGTCGATGCCATAGCGCGCCAGCTCCTGCAGAGGTGCGGGAACCACGCACGGCAGGAGGGTGGGCGCTCGGCCATGCACCAGGCTAGGACCCCGTCTCCCTTGGTGCGCCCGCCTGGCGCGGCCGCAGCCGCTTCGCCCGCCTCTCGCCTTGAACAGCCCCCACATACGCTGCTGCGGGCGCCGTAAGCAACACAGATCCAGCTACGCTGCTCGTGGGGCTCTGGCGTCAAGGTTCGTGCGCTCCACCTGCAAGAGCTTGCAGGATTCCGAAACCAACACCAAGCCCCCACGCCCGCACCTGCACCAGGCGCTCTGTCTCGTACAGGCTGAGGAACTCCGGGATGCAGACGCACACAAACGTTGTCTGAGCCGGGTCCTGGAACTGCGTGTTGACCTGAGCGGCGAGGGCGTTGATGCAGGGAGGGCGTGCGGCGGTTGCGACTGAAGGCAGGTGCAACGGGCGACGCGCGCAGTGTCATGTCGTTCTGGCCTGCCGGATAGTCTCTACGGGCACCCTGCGCAGGCGCCGTCGCGATGGAAGGGCGACCTCCCCGCTGAGTCACACCCACCCTCCACACTGCGCCGACATGGCATCGGCTGCCCGGCCTGGGCAGACTCTCCTGCCGAATCCCCTCAGCTACTCATCCTCCCTTGCCCTACAAATTCCTCCTCCCCACAAATCCCTGTCCCCATGCAGCTGCATGGCTGCGCACCTGCCGCACAACCGCCAGCAGGCCCTCCACCTTGCCCAGCAGCTGGTCCGGCAGGTCCTCGCCCCCTGGAACGCCCATCATGCGCGTCACCTTCGAAAAGAGCGAGGGTGATAAAGGGTGTTCACGGGCGCAGTTGCGGACCATTGCGCACCAGAAAGCGGGTGCTGATTGAGGGGCACCTGAACTCTTGTGCCAATCAAGGCATTGCCCCATCGCATGCATCGCCCCATACGTATTTTGAAGCACACTGCTGAGAAGCTGACACTTTCAACCTGATGCCATAAAACTTGTTCAGACAATTACACACGACACACACACACACACACACATGCACACACGCTCACGCACCTGCCCGACCATGCCCCCCATTGTGGCCTTGAGGCTGACGAGCTTGTTGAGGCCCTTCTCCAGGAGCGTGGGGAAGTTGAGCAGCCGCAGGGTGTGGCCAGTGGGGGCCGTGTCAAACACGATGGTGCTGTAGTCCATGCTCTGCACCTGAGGGTGTGTGTGTGTGTGTGTGTGTGTGTGTGTGTGGTGGGAAGTAAAAATGGGGAGGGCCCATGCGCGCGGGACAGGGTGAAACCAGGAGCCAGCCAGTGCTAGCCCTGGGCACGCGCACCTGCGCAAACCTGCATTGCCCACGGCTCCAATTGGCCGCTGCAGCAGTCGCGACATCTCGCACACACTGCCAAGTCGTGTGTCAGGCATGAGCCCCCTTTTCAGCTGCTTTCGTGCTTTCCTGCCCTCCTGCCCGCCATCCTGCCCCTAGCCGCGGTGCAAGCCGCACCCAACGGCCACTTACCACCCCCACAGTGGCCCCAGCATCGCCCCGTCCCTGCCCACCTGCTTCATGACCTCTGCAAAGCTCATGGCCTCGTCAATGCCGGGGATGGATGACGCCAGGTCCTGGAAGAAGCCATCCTGCGCCCACTCCATTGCCTCCAGGTCAGCGCTGTCAGGGGTCGGGTCCACCTCCTGCGGGAGAACGGCAGCGATGCACCGCGTCCGAATTTGTGTGCGGTCGCATCAGCATACACAGGGATGCGGGTGCGCGGTTGAGCACGCTGCTGTGTGTTGGGGGTGCTGGCTTCAATGCGAGTGGAAATAAATTGCGCTGCTGGACCTCACGCCAGCAAAGCAAGCAGCTCATCCATGCAGGTGCACACTGCCTGCAGGCGGGCGTCTCTGCCTTCAAAAGCACAGATTTTTTGGCTTGCTGCACCCCCACTAGACTCAAAAAGCAGGGCCCGTTGCGTGCAAAAGTTGACCACAGCACAGCGGGCGGCAGAGCGGGATACAGCGCCGCAAAGCGTCTTCCGCAGCTGCGGACGACGCCTCACACCCCTGCCTTGAACCCCCTTTTGCTCGCACCATTGCATACAGGTTAGTGAAGCCTTGCACCAGCGAAGGTGTCTTGGTGAACTTCTGTCTGAATGCGTCACTCAGATTGTGCGCTGGGTCCGTGGAAATGATGAGCACGCTCTCGCGCCGTGCCGCCAGCTGCACCGCCAGGCTGCTGGAGCAGGTCGTTTTGCCGACACCGCCCTTCCCGCCGACAAAGATCCATTTCAAACTGGTCTGCTCTATGACATTTTGCAGGGTAGGCTCAGGTGCAGCGTCCTCCATCCCGTTGTCTAGAGTGAACTGCTGCGCGATCTGACAGCGCTTGAGGCCCTTTCGTAAACGAGAGCGATAGAGAAGCAATTGAATGCGGCGTCTGGTGGGGTGAACCGGCGCCTTGGAACGCGGCACACACACCTCACCGTAGGGTGGAAGCTGCCGGCAGGCCAAGTGATGCCAGAAGCCTAGGGCGTCGCGGTCTCAGCCTAAGAGTGTTTTGTAAGCAATAAACTTCCTGTCTCTGATTGTGTATGTTGAGGTTCTGGTCAGTTGGCGACGATCTGCGTTCCCGCGCGGCTGGACGATGGTCTACATCGCGCCACTGCCCAGCAAGGAAAGACAGAAACCTGAAACCTCAGGTGGGTTGCGTGCATTTGGGATGTGTGGATTCCTGTGGAGGGGCACCGTGTGCGGTGTGGCGTTTGGACGATGCGGAAGCAGAGCCCAACAACGCGTGCCCACTGCACAGGCAGCGCTGCAGCCCCGGCTCCGCCCAAGGACGCGCCGGGCGATGACCATGCAAGGCGCCGGCGGCATCATGCAGACACGCGCATGGTGGCTGCACGCAAAAAGATGCCCGAGCCACCAAGCCGGCCGGGTCACGGTGACCAGCAGAGGCGGGCGCCTGCTGCTGCAAACACGCTCGAACTGTTAGGTGGGCATGTTGATTGGGGGGATGAGGATGCGCCTGGCAGGCCGAGCGTCATTGGGTGGGCTGTTTGGGGGCAACAGCTGGTCCCAGATAGGCACCCCCTGTGTGCTGCAGGGATTCAAGGCAGGGTTGCAGTCATGCCCGTGGTTCCGATCCACGGGTTCCGATCCACGGGTTCCGATCCACGGGTTCCGATCCACCTTCCCTCCACCTTGCTGCGCAACTCCGGGCGCAGCCCATCAGGCGGAGCTGGCAAAGCAGATGCTGCAGCGGGAGCGTGCACATTGCGTCAGCGGAGGCGGCGGTGACACTGTCCAGTTGCCGATTTTGCAGCAGCAGCAGCAGCAGCAGCAGCAGCAGCAGCAGCAGCAGCGGCTGCCGTATCAGCATTCATGGCCCGTACCACCGGCGGGGGCCCAGCTTACGGCCACGCTTCCGCCCTTAGCAGTGGGCGTCGCTGGCGTGCGCTGCCACAACAGCTTTGGAGTCGCGCCCAAGCAGTTTGACGCCAGCCGAGTGGCAGGCCTGGGGCCCAGCAGCGGCAAAGCAGCAGCAGGTGTGCAGCTACCTGGCCCATGCCAGCCCGCACACGCAGCAGTTTCAGGGGTGCACGGGACTGCAGGCCAGGGGCGCATCTCACAGCCGGCAATAACGCATCAAGAGCAGGTGTTGTGGCAGGCCTCCGCGCCCCCTGCCTCGAACACGCCTGCATGGTCAGCTGCGGATGTGCCATCCAGTGTTGGCGGTAGGACAATGCAGGCACCTGGCATCACAGCCAGCATGGGACCGGACAGCAGGACGGTGGCAGCGAGCATAGTCAGCGGCGGCCAGCCAGTGCAGCAGATGGTGCAGCAGCAGCAGCAGCAGCAGCAGCAGCAGCAGCAGCAGCAAGTGCAGCAGCAACCGCAGCAGCAGCCTCATCAGGGTGACATCTCATATGAGGAAGAACAGAGGCGTGCTCGTGAAACCAAGCAGCGCCAGTACAAGGTGAGGTGCAATCGCCCAGAGCAGCTGCAATGCTACATCGACAACCAGCTTCATCCTGCCTAGTGTGTACAAATCGCCAAAGCCTCTCTGACTGCACTCTGTTTTCAACATACGTTGACAGGCGGAGCTTGAAGCCCAGATTGCGGAGCGGGAAGCGGCCCGCCGATCAGCGGAGGCTGAAAACCGGGTGCGCGAGGCCGCGGAGGAGGCGCGCCGAGCGGCGCGGCCGCCGCCATGGGACCCGTCGGCGCGCGCCGCACGCCCGGGCGGGGGAGGGGAGCCACTAAAAGATTGCGCGGGCAACGCGGTGGCGGACCTGCGAGCAATGAAAAGCTCCCTCATGCTGCCTTCATCCAGTGGCAACAAAGCCGGCGCGGATGCGCACCCCAACGGGGGTGTGCGGCCACATGCGGATGATTCTGCGTTGCTCGCTCATGCGACGGCCGCGTGGCAGGTGCTTGGTGCGGAGCAGCCGCAGGCCTGGCAGCAGCAGCAGCAGCAGCAGCAGCAGCAGCAGCAGCAGCAGTCACCAGGCGGGCAAATCTATCGAGGATCCGCCCCAGGCGCAAGCCCTGGCGGGCGGCCCTTCATGGCCGGGCTGTCAGAGCTGCAGGCAGGCCCCTCGCAGCAGCAGCGAGAGGCTGCGGCGGTTGCGCGGCAGCAGTTGCTAGTTGACCTGGAGGAGCAGGTGAGGTGCGAGAGTGCTGACAGGATGTGCAGCTTTTGATGACAGGGATGGGGTTTGCTGCTTTTACTATGGCCCCACTTCACCCCAACAGATGCTGGCCAACCTGAATCAGCTGGGCGCGTGGCCCAACCACGCCTTGCATTAACCACCGCTGCAATTTGCCAGGTTCGCGCCAAGGCGGCTGCCAAAGCTGCCGCAGAGCGTGCGGAGGCGGATGCGGCAGCACGAGAAGAAGTCGCTCAGCGGCAGCACTACGACCGGCTGAAGGCCGGCGGCTGCAGCGGCGGCGGCTGCTTTGGGGATCAGGCTGGCAGCGGCTGCGCCGCGCAAGGGGGCGGCGCCACACCTCGTGCCAGCGCGGGCATGCCTCAGGGCGTCGACCCTGGCTTCGGCAGCGCCCAGCCTGGCGGCCCCCTGGTGGCGCAGCCGCCTGTGCCGTTGTCGCACCTGCAGTGGCTGCCGGATCAGTATTCAGCATCGCAGCAGGCTTGGCCGATGCAGCAAGCGCAGCAGCTGCCGTGGCCACCCCAGCAGGCTCCGCAACCCTGGCTGCAGCAGCAGTTTGAGCAGCACAACCAGCCGCAAACGCCAGCAGCGCCACCGCCGCCGCTCAAGCAGGAGCATGTGCTGCGCAGGCGGGGCGCCAAACCAGCAATCGATGCACCATGGCTCGACGAGGCAGCGGCCAGGCAGCGGGCAATGGCGCCCCGCCCGCCGGCGAACGCGTACGCTGCAGCGATGCCGCATGCCGGCGCGGCCTCAGGCCAGGCGCTTGTTGCCCGCGAGCGGTCGGGCGCTGACTACCCTGCGCACGGCTTCCTTGCGGCAGAGGCGTCGGCAGGCGCCGCCTCGGCCGCCGCCAGCTTCGGCCCCGAGCTCAGCAGCGGCGCGCTCGCCTCAGTCGCCGCCGCGGCGGCCCGCGGCGGCCCCCAAGGCGCGGCGCTGGGCGTGCTGCTGCAGCGCATGCAGTCTGAGCAGGCTGCGCTCCGCGCTGACCTGGCGCGCCAGGCGGCGACGCTCGACACGATCGCGGCCGGCCGCCGCGCGGCGGTGGAGCAGCGGGACGCGGCGTGGGAGGAGCTGCGGCACGCGCGCGGCGCGATGGGCCTGGCGAGTCCGCAGCAGCAGCGGCAGCAGCAGCAGCAGCACCACCACCACCACTCCCACTCCCACCACTCCCACCAGCACGGCTCGGGATCGGCGGGGTTGTTGGGCGAGCCGAGCGCTGCAAACAGCTGCGGCGCGCAGCAGCTGTCCGCGTGGCGCGAAGAGGAGGAGTGGGGCCCAGAGGGCGGGCAGCTGCGGGCGTCTGGTTCCTGCCTGGACGGCGGAGGGCGGTGCACAGACAGCCGGCAGTTCGTCGTCGAGTCGTTCCTGGTGGGCGGCTGCGCGAGGCACGCGGGCGCCATCATGCTGGCCCTTGCACTCGCAGCTGGACCGATGCTGCGTTCGAGCGCTCGCCTGCTGGTATGTGCCCCTCAGACGCTCATCCTACGTTTGAACTGCGTTTTGGCAAACTTTCTGGTGCTCGATTCAGGTACCCATGAACGGCATGCTACCGGAGCCACTGCTGGCGGCCAGCGGGCAGCCAACATGTGCAGACGGCGATGGCTGGGCGCCCCAGGACAGCAGCGGCAGTTACGGGGGCGGCGACTGGCAGCACGAGCCCAGCGGCACATGCCGCGAGCCCACGCAAACGCGGCAGCAGGGGCACGCATCACGCGCAGGTGTGCAGTCGCAAGCGTCTCCACCACCACGGCAGCAGCTTGGGGCGGGCGCCTCCTCGCGGCGCCGACAGCAGCCCATGCAGCAGTCACCGCCCGGCTGGCGAGGCGCGGGGCAGCCACGCGGCGAGAGCCGGCGCAGCTCATTCATACCGGCTGCGGCGCCGGCGCAGGAGCCGTCGGGGTGCGCGAGCAGCTGCGCGGTGCCGCGCGGCTGGCGGCAAGAGGCTGCGAGTTCCTGTGCTGGTGCGCATGCGCCCGACCCGCGGCAGCGGCAGCAGGCGCCTGGCTCCCCAGCCATCCTGCGGGTCCCAAGCCCCGCCAAGGCGGCGCGCCGGGACCAACAGCCACCCACCCGCGGCAGCGGCGGGGCTGTTGAG